GCCTAGCTATTTTCTTGTTGCATTTGTCATTGTTGTTTAGCTGGCCTGGGCCGGGCTTGAACTCGCCATGTTCAGTGCATGTGGCTGGTGCTGTAACCACTGTGCTCCGGGCGCTGCGCCATACCCCCTAATTTTTTATATTTTTAAATTTTGGTAGAGACAGGGTTTTGCTATGTTGCCTAGGCTAGTCTTAAATTCCTAGACTCACACAGTCCTCCAACTTTGGCCTCCCCCAAATGCTGGGATTATAGGCATGAACTATTACACTGTGCCTCACAGATACTCCCCATGCCTCTATCCATCCCCATGTCAGAAGCTAAGAGGTCATAAACAATCACCTAGCTCTGTACCCCAGAGTTCATTCACCGGCCCAATACTTACAAAGAGAATCAGAAAGAAAGGATGAAGCAGAGTAATAGTTATTTTAGGCTCTGGGACACTGCATAGAAAGGGAGAGAAAAATGTTATATTTTCCTTTATAGATGGGAATTACTACAAAGACTTGATGAGACTCTTTCTTATCTGAGGTCAGAGAATGAAAGAACTCTTTGATGTAAATTTTCCATTCAATGCTTTAGAACCGATAGCTATTTTTAGTTCCCAACTGTTTACTTCTCTCCACATAAAGATTGTAAACTTATGCCCCATGAGCTGAACGTGGCACAGAGAAGTCTTTTATTTGGTCCATACCAAAGAAAACACCACTCTAAGTATGATTATTTGAATCAAATTGGTTGCCAACTTTCAAATTTGAGATAGGTCAGATAAAGGAAAAAGAAGAATATTTTCAGATTCTCCTGAAAAATTGAAAGCCTTGGCTACTCTAGGCTTGGGCACCATCAGCTGGTGAGTAGCGGCTGCCTCTTAGGCAGGGCCTGTTTTCCATAGTCCCTACCTCTCCCTATTGCCTTCTACTAGGCCCATTTCACTTATTTATATTTTTTGCTTAATCCATGTGGTCATTTGATCAACTAACTTTTTTTTCTTTCTTTCTTTTTCCTCCCTCCCTCCCTCTCCTTCCTTCCTTCCTTCCTTTCCTTTCTCCTTCCCT